GGAGCTGCCACCGGAATTGCCGGATATTGTATGTATTGACAAGCAGGAAGGGGAAAGTAAAGTATATAATCAAGAGTGTCACTGGCTAACAGTTTCTCTTTCTTTTTTCTCGCATAACAGTCAAACAAGGCCAGTATCAGGCAACTAATCCAGTATTCTTTCCAGTGGCCTATAACATGAACGCCCCTAAAGGTTCACGCTGGACACATTATGCCGCGACCACCATTCCAAGATTGTACCATTCGGTTGCAATGTTGATTCCAGATGGAACTATTTGGGTTGCTGGAAGTAATCCAAATAACGCACCCAGTAATACTGGTTTCATTACCGAGTGCGTACAGTAATACAGTGATAGTTAAATCTTTTACACGCCATATTTTCGTTACTTTGGTGTATTCACGACTTTTTCTTTTCAACTATAACCAGATACCGCGCAGAAAAATTTACGCCACCTTATCTTGAGACCTCCAACCCGCGCATCACGATAACATCTTTCGCAGGTTCGACCGATATAAACAAAGCTCCAATAAGTGTTCAGTACAACGCCAAGTATGAAATCGTTTTCACGCTAGCTAATGGAGCTAAGCCGGGCACAATCAGTTCAACTTTGATTCACAATGGGTTTACGACTCATTCGCAAACAATGTCAATGAGGTCCGTTAAATTGCAGTTGGATCCGTTCACCACAAAACCAGATGGTAGTTATAGCGTTAATGTGTGGATGCCGCCAAATTCGTTCATTGTACCGCCCGGCCCACAATATGTGTATCTTTTGAATGACGGCGTGCCAGGAGTGTTGGGAATACATGTTCTGATCGGATAGACTAAATTTTAGATATTGAAAGAGATACTAATAATCATAACGTTCTAATGCAGAAATAATTTAATGAGAATAAAAAAATTGTCCTATGCTTGTATGGTAATCCTGATAATCAAAACCCCAAACGCGCATGAGCTCTTGGCTGAAATTTCACTGTATTATCAAGCTTTTTGTCCGTTTGTTTATTTATTATTCACCCAGAAAATGAGTCAGCGGCAAACGACCTAGAGTTATACGGCAGAAATGCTTAAACAGCTATATCAATTGAATGAGAGATCGTTGAATTTTTCTTTTCAGGAATGCCCCGATCACATTTTCTCCTGCTCGAAAGCTTCTGTATTAACAATCTCATAATCATGTTACTGTTTTGACATCTCCAAAAGCAATGTTAATAAAAAATTAAATAGTATATTTCAAGCCAATTTGTCAAAGTTAGTCGCTTTGGCGGAGTGGTTAACGCGGTGGCCTGCTAAGCCATTTCCCTCTGGGAGCGCAGGTTCGAATCCTGCAGGCGACGAGCTTAAATTTTTTCGTTATTAGATAGAATGCCACGTGATTGTATTATAAGCGTGTATTAACTACTTTCCCCAATTGAAAAAATTCGCAAGTCAGGAACTCTGATTAACCAGCGAGGAGAAGGCCAATCGATATGAAATTAACACCAGAGCTCCTGCTTCATGCACCAAGCTATATAAATGCTATTAGAGACCGTGAACTAGACTTACGGGGTATCCTTTTTTACGTTGTGTTTCGTCCTTGCGAAAAGGGGAGGGGGGATCTGTTACGTGCGGTTATTTGGTAAGGTTCCTGGGATTATACTATTAAAGTAGGAGGGGAGGGCGAATCGAACGTGCTGCAAGCATAGCGAGGATAGCCAAAGTATGAAAAGCTTGCGGCATTAGAAGATTGTTGCGAATAGTCGCTTGGGCGTAAGAAACCATTAATTGTTATTTCCCTGACTCGTAACTTTATTTCCCTTCTCTGAATTGCCATGATTAGGTAACAAAATACCTGCA